GTCAGTGCCTGAGGTTCAAGGCACGCAAGCGTAATTTGAGCTTCCCCCTCTCTCTTCCCCCGTAAATGTTAGGTTTTTTGCTGAAAGTATTTTCGAGAATGTTACGGAAGTAGAGAAGACACGGGAAGAGGGGGGGGGGGGGAGCGATAGCACTCCGCTAGTTTTTTAAACAAAAAAAAATTTGTTTTTTTGATTGCAAAATTAATTCTCCAATGTTTGGCGGCATTCGTTACGGGTACTAAAAAGACTTTTCAACGAACGTTTGTAATGATAAAAATTTCAGATGTATTGCAAACAGAAATGTCTTTACGAGATAATACGACATCGAACGCCACAAAATGTTTCATACGCAGCAGGTCGGGTGACCGTTTTTCGCGTATGTTGGCAGTTGGTCAGATCGTTCAGCTTCATCAGATTCAGGTAGAATATCCCGTTGGGAACCAGGCCAATTTCAGGATAACCAAGATTGTCAAGATTTTTATTTTTCTAGGAATTTTTATCGTTTTGTTGAAATCAGGAAATATTCGGGCTTTTGGGCTCAGCATCGTTTCGTTTGTAAGCAAGCATTGTTGCGGAAAACCCGCGAAAAGCCGGCCAGGAAACCGGCTAAAAGAAAAAGGGAAGAAAAAAAAGGTGTATCTCGCCTTGTGAGGAGATACACAGTAAATGTGCTGCCAGACTGAACTTGAAGCACAAGGACAGGTGGTGTAGTGGCAACACATTGCATCCGAACGTAAAGAGGGCTGGTTCGATTCCCTACTGATGCACAACAATTTTTGGAGAAAAGGTTCTGTTCACGACAAACATTTTAGGTTCGAATGAGAGCTGGCATGCGACCCACGCTGTTCGGTGAACTGAGTGATGGTAGATTATCTGTTGTATTGTTCAGTGCTGCACCAGCTAAAGATTACGACATCATTTACGAATCATCGAACAATTACAATTTGGCACCCAATTACAAGGATAAGGTATATTATTTGCATTCATTGAATGGTACTAGCGTAACTGATCTCTCGAAATCACTGAGATTTAACCAGTTTCCAGTTCTTACCTCCAGTCAGAGTCTCATTTCTCTTCCAGACAATAACTTCGACCTCCTCTTCTTCCTTATGATCCTCGCTCGAGAACTCCTGCACCCCTTCATCGTCTCAATTCCTCTTTTTTCCCCTCCTCTGCATCTTTTGGGTACAGATCTTCTGCATTTGTCATTTTTCGATGATTTTAGTTATAATTTTAAAGAATTTCATTAAATTTAACTTAGAAAGCCGTTTTTGCTACGGATCTCCTACATTCTTCATATCATTTTTCGATGATTCTTGTCATATTTTTAAAGATTTTCGCTAAATCCAACTTAAACAGCCGTTTTTTCGCTAGAAAAGCACCCCCTGTTCATCGCGCCGGCGACATTTTCATAGAGTTGCTGTAGCCAAAACTGCAGTACTTGGTGCGCTGCGTGCTATTTTTCCTGGACATTCATTTCATGACAGTTTTTTCTTCGTTTGCGGTGAAGTGAGGAAAAACGTGTTTTACAGATTGCTATATTACGTGAACTGAATATCGGCCACTCAGTTACTGCCAATGAGCCGAGTTTTCCATCATCAGTTATTGTGAGGCATTTAAACGAATTCACTCCATTCAGTTTCCAAAATGTTGTTGTACAGGTAAAGTTCTTTCGATTAGCATGGTCCACTACTTCACAGGGTAAGCTTTGGCCTATTTACGGCCGCATAAAAACCACTTTACAGCTCTGCCTTCTTGTCAACCCTGCTCGGCATGACCAGTTTTGGCTGCGCTTCTATCGCCCTTCCTTTTTATTCTATTAAATTTTTCAGATGTTTTTGATTATTCCTCAAAAAGTGGGACCATCAAAACCCATTTTTTTTTGTCCCCCCTCTCCTATCTCGTGATTTTCGCCCGTTAGGCGTGCTGCATCGTGTCGGTAACAAGTGAAATTTAAAAATCAGGAGATTTTCCCTTTCACTGAGTAGGGATACCTACAATGCTTGATTATTGGTAATTTTGGCTGCGCTTCTATCGTCCTTCCTTTTTATTCTATCAAGTTTTTTGGGTGTTTTTGATTATTCCTCAAAAAGTGGGGCCAACACACCCACTTTTTTTTGTCCCCC